GTGAGGATCCATAGGTTTCAGAGGATCGAGATGATCCAGAGGATCCACAGGATCTAGAGGATCGTAAGCATCGAGAGGATCGTGAGGATCCAGTAGATCACGAAAATCCTGAGGATCCAGAGGATTAAGAGGATGTGAGGATCCATAGGTTTCAGAGGATCGAGATGATCCAGAGGATCCACAGGATCTAGAGGATCGTAAGCATCCAGAGGATCGTGAGGATCCAGTAGATCACGAAAATCCTGAGGATCCAGTAGATCACGAAAATCCTGAGGATCCAGAGGATTAAGAGGATGTGAGGATCCATAGGTTTCAGAGGATCGAGATGATCCAGAGGATCCATAAGATCCAAAGAATCTGAAGGATCGTAAGCATCGAGAGGATCGTGAGGATCCAAAGAATCGAGAGGATCCAAAGAATCGAGAGGATCGTGATGATTCAGAAGATCGTGAGGATCCAGAAGATCGTGAGGATACAGAGGATCGAGAAGATCGTGAAGATCGTGAGGATCCAGAAGATCCCGAAGATCATGAGGATCTAGAGGAGCGATAAGATCGATAAGATACAGAAGGTCGTGAGGATCCATAGGATCCAGAGAATCGAAAGGATCGACCTAGCGTGGAAATTGCCTGATCGATCGTCGCGTGAAAAGAGAACAACCACGGGCAAAAAGGCGAGTTCACAATTTTCGATAGATCTCCAGGAGCGACGAGATCTATTGTACGTCAGTTTCAAAGCGCTGAATGGAAAGTTCCGCTGGATCTGGCGGCCGATATCTAGCACGGCGACGAAGGAACCGCGACACCTCGCGACGATGCGCTCGCGTGTCGTCAGTTCGCCGCCGTCGCCATTTCCGGTTGCGATCCAGCGAACCGCGGATCGTTCGCGGCGCTCTAGCCTGGAAAGATCGTGCTCGACGATCATCATGATCGAATTTTGAGGAAATTGTTGTTCCAATTGGGAAAGTGCAGTGGTTTCGACAACGATCTACAGCTCCTGGCCATTGAATTCGGGCCGCTTACAATTTTCAACATTTTTCGTGTTTTCGGAAAAATTGAAAGGCTTGAACGAAATTTAATTACAAATTGTATTCGCTATTCAAATATTATACGCATACATGTTAATAATTTGTCTGTTGCTGTACATTGTATCTTATTAATTTATTGCTATCCAGTGTTTATTGCGAGAACTGCACGGTGCGTGACGAACAGAACTGAGTGCATATTTATTCTAGAGTATCAGTGACAAGTGTACCGTAACTATGTGTTTATTTCAATTTTGCATTATTATATTTTCTGTATTATGGATCGTTATAATAAACTTCAAGCCAATCTCTGTCGTCTGTTGCACTCCAAATGTGTCCAGCCCTTCAAACCGTAACTGAAAACCTCGGAGAAAACCTTCTTTTCCTCTACGTGCGTAAAAAAATAAAAAAGATTGTAAAAGTATGTGTGTATTTTATTAGTTAATAAACTTTATTATTAACTTACGTTCAGACCGTTCAATTTTACCAAAAGTATGTAAGATGCTGAGATTTTTTTGAATGATCCTAATTCAGTGACCAAGGAACTGCATAGCTAGTTGTTTGCTCACCATCTGGCCGGTCTTCAGAAAATCCAACGGTAAAAAATCGAGGGAAAAAACGGAGAACGAACGAAAACTCAAATTTCCCTATGATGGTTAAGAGGTTTATATGTTAATAGTCTCTTCGATGGAACACACGTGAGTCGAGGAGACTTGGAAGATTTCGATTTGTTATTTCTGTGCTCCACGTGAATGGAAAGGGAAGGTAGATATGGTAATATGCAAGACAATGTTGGTTGGTTCGTTGCACATACAGCTTGCGATTCTCATAAACATCTTTATCGCAGTTTGTATAGCACGCCGTCGACGGAAAAAATACAGTGTGATCGTAAAGTCAACTGGCAGGTAATACAGTTTTGTTTCTGGCTTCAGGAAAAAAGAATTCACTGGAGTACGTTTAACCCATCGATAGTTTGTCCTGAGTGAGAGATAACTAACTCTAGCAGAGCGATGCGTATCTTTTATTCCATGAAACAAATCGAGACAGTTATCCAACAACAAAGGATTCCAGGATGCACAGGTGTATAATCGCGAGACATTGTCAGACGTTTGGGGATCAGGTTGGGTAGATTATTCTGATTTATTCACTTTATTTAAAAGTCAGCACACAGACGGGCAGATGGATCAGGGGGAAGCATGCTCGGTATATATCGATCGATAAAAGGCCCAAAGACCTGGACCGTTTACTTCATCGAGTCACAGTATCGATCTTTTTGTCCCTCTTAAAAAAAAAAAAGGATCACAACCAGACCTGAAGAAGCCGCGAAAATAACGAACGAAATCAACGAATCTCATCCTTTCAATGTGCGTTTGCGATAGATTTTATTTTCACATCCAGCGTCCACGGCCTGAATATCAGACACGCGATCGATAACGGGGGCCGCTGCTCTAACGTCGCGTCTACTCGATATATAGTACGTATAACTATAACTCTCTACCTTAAACGGTGTGTGCGTGTAACGATGAATCGTTCAAAGGACGATCCGCGCCGCGTATTGCAAATGCAACGTGTCTAATGCGAACTTACTCTAACAGAAGATTCAAGGACGACTACGGCTGCGCCTCCAGCGCCGTTTGCCCCCGGTTAAGCTGCGTCTACACTACGTAGCATAACAAATTATATAGCAAAGTAATAAAACTTGTTAGAAGAACAGAAAGAAAAATGTTACTTAACATTTTTCGTGTTGTACAGCAAGTACAGATTCTTTTCGATTATTGTCCCGAACTCGGGTCCGCGCTGGGACAATAATCAAATAGGGAGAAATGCTTCAGATTCTCGTAAATTCGTTTTTTTCAAGTGTATGCGTTTCAAAGGTTCCACGGGCTCTCTAGTGGTGGGGATAACGCCTGGACAATAATCGTGTAGAACAAGCCAGACTATAATTGTGAAGAGTCTGTAACATGTGGGCCGTCAAATGTGACGGCACTGTTAATAATAAGATGAAAAATGTTGTACAAACGTGTTACGGACTTGTGCAAAAGGTATTTTGTAACAAGTTATAAAACCGTGTTTATAGCAAAATTGTGTTTAACAATTTGTTATATAACACTCTCTTTTCCTATCGTCTATTGGAATTCGTTCCGTCTAATCGTATTTCAGCCATTTCAGCCCTTTAGTCGGGAGACCAAAGTGATCGCGGGATCGAGGGAGCAGCAACTTTGGCGGTTCTCAGGTCTCTGTACACCGCTCTTTGAAACGCGATGTAAACACAATTCAGTGTGTCTAGATCTGACTAGATAGATCCGCTACTCTTCTCGATCCGCCAATTTCCGCGGGGCGTTTCGACGAACGCGTTTTCCTTCGATCGATCGAAACGAATCCTTTGTTTCGAGATGTCGAGATTGCGTCTCCTATTCTTTCTAACCCTCTCGATTTTTAAGCTTCGAATGTCAGCCGTGGAATCGCAGTGATTTTGGTAATTATAAACGGTTGTTTTCGGACATTTTTAGCAACGGAAGGGTTAACGGTTAGACCAGTGTTTCCCAACGTGGGGCGCAATTTGAATATTTTTAACAACAGTTTTACCTATGTGCCCTTTCCTATTTGAAGCAACTATTAAACTTCTTCAAAACTTAGGTTTACTATTAGGGGGCATCGAAATCTTTGAGGCGTTGGGGTAGGCCACGATTCAAATATGTTGAGAAACACTGTGTTACATGTACCAAGAAGTAGCCTTCTATTATCAAGGCGTTTTAAATTTCAAATGTATTACCATACTTGTTGGTAAATCTAACGTAATTTGTCCCTATACACCTGTAATCGATACTTCTGAACCAGATGCACTGCAATGGTAATCATGGAGTCGCTTTCCTCTTCAACGAATCCACTCGAAACATGGATACACTCGATTGTTCTCGTTACTCACCCCGATCTCTGGCTTCGTCGCGGCAGTCAACTATTCTCTACTAATACTAAGAACGATTATGGCCCTATCCCCGAGAGGTCTCGCCAGAACGATCTTTCGTTTGATCGTTCGAACATCGACAGAGGATGCTATATCGTCGCATCTATCTACGACCACGTGGTGGTAAGGTCCTCGTGAACGTCGATAAAACTACGTATATATATATATATGTGTGTATATGATCGAACCTGGCGGAAATATTGGGGGTATCGTAGGAACGTGTTCTCGACCAGCGATTCTAAGTCCCTCAGAAATCACAGACATCCTGCGCGACGGATCGAACACGCGTAATGGAATGGTTAAGTATTGGCTTCTCGTAATGATCGACTCTCGATCGCGGTGGGACAAGCCGCGAGAAGGTAACGATCGGAGAGACACGATCGTCGATTAATTTTTCAAGATAGATAGGAACCCACTTGTCATCGGGAACTCCAGGTACCATTAAGGCTGTACAGTAAATTCTCGATAAATGCTCAAAAAAATCACCACGTTAAACGCTCAGGAAGATCTCTACGTTAAGTGTTCAAAAAGATCCCTACGTTAAATGTTCAGAAAGATCTCCACGTTAACCGTTCACAAGGATCTCCAAATTAAATGCCCGAAAGATCTCTACGTTAAATGTTCAGATACATCCTCTATGTTAAATGCCCGAAAGATCTCTACGTTAAATGTCTACGTCGCCGCCGAAAAGAATTACAAAACCGAACTGCTATACGATAACTGTTCCACACTTATCGAGAATTTACTGTATCTGGACAATACGATTTCCACCAAACGATCTCTCCATTTCTATAGAATAAAAATGGAATCATTCACACGGTACTTTTCCGACAAAACTGCAGATTCCTGTACTGTGAAAAATTGTTATCCTTCTCCGCAAGATCGAAACTTTCGCGTTGGAATGGAGCCGAAAAAGAAAAAGGAAAATTCCTAATCCTCGCGAAATTTCGTGTTTCGCTTTACTCTGGATCCTACACTGTCTCGCGAATCCTGCTCGACGATTCGGTGCGAAAACCCTATGGAATCACGTGTCTCTCCGCTCTCTTGGAAGTTACTTAGACTACATTTTGGTACCCTGAACGGTCGAAACAGGTTCAATGGTCAAACCCAGCTTCGGTCCCGTCCTCGGCAACAGCCAACAAACGTATACAAACTAGCTCTAACGAACAATGATTCTCGTGTCTGCCAGTGCCAGCACTCGCTTTCGTTTGGTCCGCCGTTAATCGGTTCGTTTCCTTGGCTTCCTACCGGGCCTCTGGGCGGAAAGCAAAGAGGACAAACGACGATCGGCCGCGAACGCGTGCACTTGTGCCTTTGGATCGACAGAGAGAACGCGATCGCGCCGATAACACACGCGATTCTATCGACAACGGTTTGCTCTCGCAAAGGTATTCCCCTAGGCGCGTTAGACCAGAAGAAGGATATCTGAAACAGAAAGCAGAATAGAGGCGTAGGTTATTTCGAGTCCAATACGAGCACAGTTTTTGGAAGTATTGGGATTGAGGTGCACGCACGAAACTGTCGTTTTGTGTGAAAATGTTCGATCGAAAAAAAGTGTTATTGTTAACCAGATTAATTTAATCATTTATGCGTTTGCTGTAGACAATGGTGGATGTTATTGAACGAAACAAATTCCTTGGCGCGGTTCAGATTCCGATTACTAGACATTTATCGTTTACACAATTGTCGATTCATTCGTAAAGAAATATTATTTTATTATAAAAATTGAAATTTCCACGTTTAAACGATTAAAAATGACGAAATACTTTTTTTTATCGTTTATTCGTTGTTCGAAACATTTTATCTGGATAATGAGTTTGCCCATCTCTGAGTGACAGAAGCACGTGTTTCATGACACTCACCTCACCCTATGAATCCTGCGGCGAGCGATATAATCAACGCTAGGATGCCGGTCATCACCTGACCAGCCGTCGACACGACCACCTGCTGGGGCGCCGCGCTCAGTACAACGTCGTCGGGCACGAAATGGTCATCAGCCGTCAACCTATCACCGTACCTGGCCAGCAAGTCCATGATGAGTCCGTTCGTCCAGCCGAAACCCAATTGTACCTCGTACTCGCCACCGCCCCCGTGGCCCCCCGACACCGTCGCGTCGTACTGCGAACCGAAATCGAACCCGTTCGTTTCTGACGTCGATCTGACGTTTCGACGATCATTGCACGCTACAAATTTCTCCAAACTGTTCACTTACTGATGGTGTCCCACCTAACGTGAGCATCTTAACACTGAACCTACCAAATCCTTCAAAGAGACAGGAATTAGAACGGTGGAACTGATTATTTGACTGGTCGTGGTAGGTTTAGTGTTAAATATCTCACTTGTTTCTGATGACGGAGAGAATATGTGAGAGGAAAATATTATTATGTACATAATTTTCCCGTTGTATGTTATAGCCAACATTATTATGCATTTTTCCATGTATAATAGTATGACCTTGAAATGACCTTGAACTCTACAAATTTTAATTTCACTTATACAATTTTTTTCCACCATCTGATTCATCTCTTGAAACCATTTAAATTACATAAAAAATGTTCCTCGTATGATCACAGATAGAGAAGATAGTTAGGTGGCCTATTTGAAGAGGAACACCCTGTATAACGACTGATCAACCTTCGTCCAGCTGGTGCCGGGTCACGTTTGATCCATACGTTCATCTTGAACGCAGGGAAAGGAATGGCTATTCCGTAGTGTTGCTAACGTTAATTAATGTCAATATTGCTATGAAACGCTCGAGACACGTTTTTTGAAAACATTCCATTTCTCTATGTGTCATAGACATTATTAGATAATTACAGTGGTCCTTGTTTAATAGACGTACTTTTTTCCCCGCTTAATTGCCGCGGAGTTGTTCCCACTAATTCCTGGAACCGCTTCCACGGAACGAGCGTCTCCACGTTATCTGTGTTACAGATCGTGAAACAGCTGTTCGAACCTTTCTCTCTATAGTTCACTCACACAGAATGTTTCCCATTCTCGCCACCGAAGCGCTGAGACCAGTCGGCAATATCTGAACCATCTGTCTCCCTCGATAACTGTCGCCAAGCGAACCTAAGTTTCGATTATTGTCCATTAAACAGGGACTACTGTGGTTAGTATCCAAAAATTAGAAAAATTCGAATATGGGACAAATGTACAGGGTGTCCCACGACAAGTATCAGTCGAAATAACGCCCCAAAAAACTGTTGCTATTACGAAATTCTAAGAAAGGAAGAATTTTTACTTGTACAAATCACAGTGTTTTGGGGGTTGAAAGAAATGAGACAGCGAACGTGACAAAAGAATCGAAGGCGTGTTAAGCTGGAAAAAAAAGAGCTATACGTCTGGAAAAATTCGTACGCTCTGGTTCGATCGTTGCTCTACTTAGCCAACTAACAAGGATAAGGCCCAACACTTTTCCAAGTTACACAGGAAACTTCGAAAGCAAATGACTGAAAAACATTCTGAGTATTTGATCCTATACAGGGTGTCCTACTGACATATTTAGGATGCTCAAGTTAGGTGGGACCCCTTGTATTGATTTGTAAAAGGAAAGGAGCCAACTACATATCCTAAAAGTCCCATTAAAATCGGCGACTCGAAATTGAGGCCCTTTCCTTGTAAGTTTCGTCGACCATTCAGCCAATTATTCTATCATAGTCGAGACCTTCGAATAGTTACCTTCTCGAACATGCTGTGCGTCTCGTTGAACGCCTTGTAATTGCTCCGTACCCATCGTTGGCTGACCTCGTACGCCAGTCTCTGGGCCCACGGGTCCTCGGTGTTGTTCAACGACATGATAACGAAGTACTGTAACGGCGGCCAAGCATTCGGATAGTCCCATTGCTCGCCGGAGTGCTCGAGGGTGGTCGGTATACCGCCTAAATTCAACATGATCTGATTCTTCTCGAGATACTTGAGCACCTTCGAAACGTAGTCGTCCCGTTTGGCCACGTCGAAACAATTTGTCCACAACGGCAGAATGTTCGTTGGATAGAAGTAATCGCGTTTGATGTCGTTCAGAGTGTCGTAGTCCAGCCAGGCGCCTACCTCGTCGTGCCACAGCACGGCTGTCACTGCCTTCATCCATTCGTCCGCTCTTTGCCGATAGTACGCGGCCTTCGTTTCGTTGCCCATCCGCTGACTGTACTGGGCCAGCAGCTGTGCATTCCGATATATTATCGAGTTCAAATCGACGGGGATAATGTATCTCGTTTTCAAGTTCGTCAGATTACCTGAAGAAGAACTGGTCTAGAGTGTCCGTACCTCGGTCGAGGTCTCCGCCTAGGTGTACGGGGTGTCGATAAAGAAATACGTGGGGATGTTTTTACTGGGTGGATTCTACTTGTCACATTGACAAGGGAACACTTCGGTATCCAGAAGTCTAGGATTTTTTTAAGTTTGTAAGGGGCCTCAAGAGGAGCATTGGGGACAATTTTTCGTTTTTGCGGATATTCTGTTTTTTAGGATTAAACCACCCCTTAAAGGTTAATTTTCCTATTTTCCTATATACCTTAAAAATTATGATAGATATCATAAAATTGTTGTTATAAAAATTTAATGGCTTTTTGTGCTGTATAAAATTCTGTAATGAGACTGTTAAAAATTTGTTTATTTATTTATTTAAAAAACAAAATTTTTAACAATTATATTGCACAGTTTTATAGAGCATGAAAAACTATTAAATTTTTATTCTATCAATTTTTGGATATCTAGTATAATTTTCAAGATATCCAGGAAAATAGGAGAACATATTAACCTTTAAGGGGTGTGTTTCACTCTAAAGAATCGAATATCAGCACAAACGAAGAACTGCAGGATGTTTCTATTGAGTTCCTTTACCAACCTTCGACCACTCATCGAGAATTTACTGTATGTTGGTGTACTACACCTACACTACAACATACAGTAAATCCTCGATGAGTGTTCGAAGGCTCCTCGGCACTGAACATTAAATATTTCATAAACTAATGGTCATATGCAGTTGAAACAAATATTGTCTTTATACTATCACTGTGCTAAACCTCATTAAAAAGTCCTCCTTGTCAGTGTCGAGTAGCCTTCGAGCACTCATCGAGGATTTACTGTATATGAGACTCATCAAAATCCGTGTCCCAGATTACTATCAACACCCTGTATACGCGATCGATGAAAACGATCGTTGCCCAACCGGTTGAACATCAAAAACGCCGCGAAGGGTAGCGATACGATTTTTATTTTCGAGCTCGCGACTCGTATTCGAGCGGGAAGCACCGCTTTCACCTGGGAAACGGAACGGCGTCCGTTGGGGCCTTGAACGCCACCGATCGTGATATCTCCAACGAGATATCTCGGATAATACGGAACGCGTAGCACAATAATTGCCGACACAGTTTCTCGAGGCGCGTCGCTTTGTTCCCGAATGATTTGAAGAAACCACGGAAAAAAAAAAGAATCGTGCATCGTCGAGAGACGATTCTAGTAACCCTGTGTTTCTGATCTGCTAGATCCTACCAGGCGATCTACGATCGTTTCTTGTTAATATTTGGTTGTTCCAGAAAATATTTTGTTTGTCGAGTCCATTTATTATTTGCTGGCGAAGGTGACGATGCACGGTGGATGTCGATAAAATTCTCTGACTGAATCGACGAATCGATGTAGATCAAGGATCCATGCTACTGGTTCGACGCCAAGAGTCTTTTCTTTTCACATCGATGTTGGCTTAGTTAATCTTTAAACTTGTGACTGTTTATTTTCTTACTTTAGTGGATAATGATGTGAAATTTAATTCATGTTTATCTGTAATGTTTTGATATTAACGTAAAGAAATAATATTTGTTCACTCAAAGCACGGGCTCGCTTTCCAGAGCCATCTATCGATTCACTTCCGTAAGCGATTTAAAACAACTAGGAGGCGAAATATTAGATCGTCCGGAAAGTTCGTGCCGTATTGGAAGGCAGAATTACGACTCACAATTATTACTTTCTATCTTACTTCATCAGCAAATGTAGTTTCTACGTCCTGTTGCAGTTTCTTATAATTGGGTAATTTTATCCTAACAGTTACACAAAAAATTATCCTTCCGGTTAAAAATCTCTTTAATAGGTCTCTGATTGACTTCTCTGTTTCCGGAGGTTTTTTCTGACATCGAATTCTTCCACGAACAGAAGTAAATAATCTTTTTGAGAGGATGATAAATAGAGTTAATACTATAAACTTTAATGAATTATATTTTAATAACAAATATAAATTATAAAAAAATATATTGTTGTTTTTTATATTTCATAATGCGTAACTAAATTTCTTGCGCTTGTATCTCACACTCTATTTTACAAAAAGCAAAGAAGTCAACTTCCAACAACGTTTATATTCAAAATCTATTTCGAGAATGATCAGACGATTTTTTCTTTCTTCGGTGAAAAATGGTAATAAAGACAGTGGTGCCTGAAACGGCACGAACTTTTCGGACGATCTAATAATTATAAAATGCGCGACATTTTCTGGGACAACCAAATACATGTACAGTACACTCGCGATAACTGCCTGCTGGATAAGTACAGATAATAGGCGTTTCTGATAGACTTTTATGAGCTGAATATTATGAATCTGCAAATTATTTTTTCCCAGCACGTCCACATTTTAGAAAAAATAGTTTAAAAAAAATTGCAAATTTTCAATTTTGGAGGTGTGTTGTGCTTTTATAGTAATAGTTATTAATTTGCTTTTGACTCGAAGTAATTCTTTTGGACTCCGAAATTATTATATTATACACATCTAAATATGTTTAAATAATGATCAAAGTAACAAAAGCACACGTCCTATTGACTCTCGATAATTACCCGTTCCTAGCATTGCCCGCCTCTAAAGCCCCAAATGCGGGTAATTACCGCGAGTTTACTGTAACAATTCGACGATGAAAAAAAGAGAGAAAAAAAACGGCGCCGAAAAAAAAATTGACTTATCGTCGATGACGGAACACCTCGTTTACCTTTGTTCGTGCCGTCGTGTATGAACCAACGACTGGAGAAGTCCCAGCCCGACTCGGCGGCGGTCTTCAGCTCCGCGTAGTAGTTCTCTTTCTCCTCCGTGGTGCGAAAGCTCTGGCTGGTCAGATAATCCTCTCTGATCGATAAAAATCATTCCCGATTGTTAAAACGATCTCGCTAAAAACGCGACACCGTAGCTTGCTTAACGTGCGGAGGGGGGTTGGGCCTTACTTGTAGGACTCTGGTCTGGGTCCAGCGGACTCCTCGTAGTATCTTGCCAGCGTGTAGTTGGCGCCGTCCAGTTCGACCTCGATCGTTCGATTGGTCATCCAGAAGTCGAACTCCTTCTCGAGTAGATGGAAGTTCTCGGACAGCCAGTCGTAGTCGTTGGTGGTCTTCAGGTATTCGTCGACCATCGGGATCAGAAGTGGCGGATGCGATCTCATCGTGTAGTAGATTCGTCCGCCGTTCGGTATGAAACCGATCTTGTCCACGATCGAGACGAAGTTGCTCAGCATACCTTTTACGGTGCTGTACATCTCCGAGAGCAACAGACCTTTGATGATCCAATACGAGTCCCAATAGTAGAACTCCCGGAATCTGCCGCCTGGGACGATCACTGGATGGGGCACGTAGATGATCGAGTATTGGTCCTCGTTCACACGGACGTCGTCTTTCATCTTGCGACCGAGCATCTTCCAGATGTGATTCAGGTCTGAAGCGAATTTCTGTAGGTCCTGGTCGTGGATCTTGTTCAGGAACCGCGGATGAGGCGTCCAGTCCGCGGGGTCCCATTCCTCGAACTCCGAGCCGGCCGGATCGAAGGTGTCGTTCACGAACTGCTCGATCTGATGCCTGGTCGGCATCTGATCGACCTGCTCCATGAAACGACGGAACAACGCGAGCGTCTGGTTCGGCGGATGCTTCATTTTCATGTCGACGAAGGTCTTCGAGTCCTTGTAGATCGACGCCATCTGTATCGTGTGCAGGAGCTCGCCATGGCAGTAAATGTCGCTGCAAAGCCAGACAATCTCTTTCGTTCCTTTTTCTTTTTTTTGTGTTTTGTTTTTCGGCCGACATCTGCATCGATCGCAACCTCTCCCTATTTTGTGTTTGCTCTTGAGCATTTCTGAGTTTTTCTGCTACGGTATTATGGGGCAGAAAGAAGTCACGCGGCGCAGAAATATTGTTTTTTTTTTTTCTGCAATTCCACTGACATTGTCTTTTCGAAACGATGCTAGGGTTTATGTGCAAGATGTGGGTACTGAATTTTTTCCTTGCAACTTTACAGGTTTCGAGAAATTTTGGATCTGTTCGCACGGATCGAAACTACGAGGAATCTGTTCCATATTTTCTTTCAGAATCGGCGGTTATGTCACGGGGTAATTTGAGTTACGTGATCGAAAAGGGGATGATTTTTCGACAACAGTCTTTTGATTTACGAAAGTAAGCAAAAGTCCTAGACAGTGCTTTCTATACGTATCCCTCTTGGGTATTGTGCTCCAACTTTTACACTGCTGGAAAAATATCATTCTAGCTTGTTTAGTTGATTGGGAACGATTAAGAGCACGCTAATGTGTTTTGAGTCTTCGGTGGTCAGACTTTTACGGTGTTTTCATTGCAACTGCGCATGTTTCTCGATATCTTCGAGGTGACACCTATAGTTTAGAGGGACCCTTTTATGATGGACTTTACATTGTTTGGCTTGGAACAAAATATGGACATAATATGGTTTTTATATTATTATATTAAAAACTAAACCACTTGGAACGAAATAATTTTTACCATCGGAAGCATGTAAAATGTCATTTTTTTAAAAAAAGTGGGCTTAATACATTTTGGCTCTAGGGTCCAGGTTTTCACTGCCGAAAGTGGCTACCGATCGTTGGTGATGCTCGTGAAGCACAACTGTTTCATTTATCATTGGAGACAGAAACAGTAGAGGAGGTGATCTAAATATAAGCTACAACTTTTATTTCAGAATTCAGGGCCAAACCTGTTGAAGAGTTTTAAAATATAACACTTCAGTGAATCTAGAATATTTTTGTTTTATGACACGGACTTAAAATAAGCTTCTTTTGTTCTTAACTCGTAATTTCACACGATTCCTACTAGGATGAAACACCTAATAAGACCCTCTACTTCAACCAGCCCATATTTAGATCAGAGTCGGGCACAATTTTATTGGAATAATACACAATGAAAATCAGCAATATCTAAGATTGTCATCCTGATTTGGATACAGTTAATGAAATTAAATAATTGTTTGCCAAGTATCTACTCGTTCCAGAAGAAACATTACTTTGTTGAAAAAATTGGAATTTCCTTGTTTAATCAATTGCAAATGGCGAAATAATTCTTTTTATCCATTATTCGTCAATCGAAACCCTTTATCTCGATAATGAATTTGCCCATCTCTGATTTGGACTTTGGCCTGTATTTGGATCACCTCCATTGCTGGGTCGCAGAAGGGTTAAGCAAAAGCAAAGCCGTCAAATCAACTCCGGACTGTCCCAATTCTTGGACGATCCTCGTAGTAACGATCTCGGTGAATCCCACGTAGCTCGCGGAACGCTGAGAAAAAAGTCTGGGCCATAAATCACCGATGAATATTGACCGTGAAGCGATCGTTTAAATGCAGAGAATTTCCGGCCAGATACACGCTGCTACAGTCTCTCAGAGCGTTGGTATTATACGCAGACTATTCTTTGTCGGAGAGATCCGCGAGAGCGCGAAAAATCGAGGAGCGAGAGACGACCTTGAAGAGGAAGCTCTCTCGACGCGAATTCGCGTTTCGATACCTCCACTGGCGGATTATTAAGATTCTAATTTTTAAAGATTCTAATATTTAAAGATTTGAATATTTAAGGATTGTAATATTTAAAGATTTAAGGAAAGGAAGATAATTAGAAAAAAGACTCTAAAAGGTTTCAGCGCGCAATCTTCTAAAAGAATGACTTTAAAAGGAAAAAGAACTTTAAAAGAACATTTGAAGGACTTTTAAAAGTATCCAGCGGGCAATCTTCTAAAAGAATTATTTAAAAGGAAAAAGAACTTTAAAAGAACATTTGAAAGACTTTAAAAGGATCCAGGTGGTAATCTTCTAAAAGAATGACTTTAAAAGAACTTTCGAAGGACTTCCATAGGATTCAGCGGGAATTTTTGTTCCCTCGGTTTTCTGGCTAGTAGGAACGCGACGATTCGAAAATTCTTCGGCAAAAGGTAGACGGCCGAGAACGGAAATACGACGTCCACGCGATTCCACTTGACCTTCGCCGGTATCGATGCAAATACAGTTACTTCAGCGAGTTATCTAAACGACTTTCGATTACGACCGCACCGTGAGTCGAGTCACCTTTTGTAAATAAAATCGTTAATGGCGCACACGGGCAAAATGTTTGAGGATTCATGAGCCAACACGCATAACTACACTTAGACATTTTGATAATAAAAATAATTTACTCCGAAAAGGGTGAAAAAAGAAAAAAGAAACAAGGATGGTGAGCCAAAAAAGGTGGGGAAACTATGGTTCAGCGTGAGAACCGACACATCCAAGCGATGTCGTCACGATGTCGAGGAACCGTCAGCTGCGATTCCGTCGAGACGCGTCTCTGGGATGTTCGCGGTTAGAAATGTTATCGCGGCGGCACCGTCGAACGCGAGCTCGGATCCCCTTAATCGGCCTAATATTTGTCGCGAGTAATCTAGATATCCGTTACAGCGACGACGCGTAGAGCTCGCGGCGTTGCGTCGTCGCGAGAATCGCGGCTCGTATAACTCCGTCTCGAGGCGAAAGAGGATGCGTGAATTGAAACGAACGACGACACGTTGTCGTCCGACGATCGCCTAACGAGTTTTTGATTCGCGAGACGAGCAGTGGACGTTGCACGATTTCGTCGCTCCCACTCGCGACGATCTATCGACGGAGGGTTCACGATCTTCGAATTCCTTTCGGTCCACAGAAACAAAGATAACGTGTACTTGGAGTCAATCAGAGTTTAATTTTCGGCGGGAACTTCGGGAATTGGGGAGGGGATATTTCCTTTCGCGTGCATCCTCCCAGTTTCTTGTAAAACGGCTATCGATACGCGTCCTGTTTATCCCTGATGGTCGACGATCAATCTAGACACGGTTCACGATCTTCGAATTTCTTTTGGTCCACAGAAACAGAGATAACGCGTACTTGGAGTCAATCAGAGTTTAATTTTCGGCGGGAACTTCGGGAATTGGGGAGGGGATATTTCCTTTCGCGTGCATCCTCCCAGTTTCTTGTAAAACGGCTATCGATACGCGTCCTGTTTATCCCTGATGGTCGACGATCAATCTAGACATGATCGACGATCAATCTAGACACGGTCCACGATCTTCAAATTCCTCTGGTCACGAGAGACAGAGATAACGCGTACTCAGGGTCAATCGGAGTGTAATTTGTTGACGGAAATTCTAAGAAGAGGAGGGGTATCTCTTTTCGCGTGCATCCTCCCAGTTTCTTGTAAATTGGCTATCGACACGCATCCCGTTTATCGCTGGTTGACCGCGAACTCCACGTCGGGCAAATAATTAATTAATCGTGAAGGAGATACCGCAGTGGGAAGATAATCCGTGCAGTCGATGGTTTCGTTACTCTGTTTCGTGTGTTTGCTCGCGGCTCGTGTTTACAGTCCTCGAGATAAGACATTGTCGACGACAGAAGCACGTTCCAACGACGCACACGGCTAGTGATGGGTAACCGAGCATTCGAGCTATATATTTAATAACATAGAATTCCTATCGCGACATAAAAAAGTAACTTATGCGTTATTACATATAGTCCGATTTATGTCGGGTTTGGACATATTTTCATCAAGAGAATCTCCTACATTTATTCATAACATTTTTAAGAAAGTACACTGAAAGGAGTAAAAGTTTCAATTTTTTTTCATGGGTGAATTCGTTGCGTTTGTTACATTGTAACCCGAGGGTCGGTTGCCGGCGGCCAGATAACAACCTTCGCCTTTGCGTACCAGAGCCTCGGGTCTCCGCTGAGATCATAAACCTGTCACTCGAGCTCGTTCGAGTAGCTCGAATTGCTCGGTTACCCATCACTACACACGGTGGCCGAAGATATGCTCGAGTTACGCGGGCAAGAATCCGTACCTATCACAGAGATCTTATCGATAAACGACTTTACATTTAACCCTCCGATTTCCACAGTTCGAATCGTGACCCAAAACGAACAATTTTGGTGATTTCTACCTGTATTGACTGTTTTACGAACTAAAAGATTGAGATAGATACGAAATTTTTCACTAGGGTGCATTAAAGGCGGCCACCTGTGGATGCCTGTGGGAACTGGAGGGTTATGAGACTAAATACTCAAAGTAACAATTTTTTGTTCTTTTCAGTGTATATTTGCAAGTATTGTTAGTGACCTAATCTATTGCTGCTGCAGGACACATCCTCTTCCTTTTACCTCCACACTCAGATACTGTTGGTAATTGATATTAATTCTCTGGTAGCAATGCAGCTGTACACTTTAATTGCCATTTGAGTACATATTATTCTGTGTTTAAACGGACGGTTTAAGTGCTTCTAATTACAGCCATCTAATGCGTTAACTATTCTCGACGAATCAATAACCTCTTTCCATAACGATTCCAGTAACTCTTCGGCAACTTTATACGAAATATACTCTACAGATTAATATACAGTAAATCATCCATGAGTGAAGGCTCCTCAGCACTGACAAGAAAAGGTCCCTAGGTGTAACATTGCCTTTTTCTGAGGTTTAGTACAGTGACAAAGCTTGTAATTCTTAAGTCAATGATATTTGTTTTAGGGATTTTATGCATTTATAGCCTCTGTGAAATACAATAAAAAATAAAACTTTCATCGAATTCAACGAGTTTTCTATTTTATTTTGATCCCAATACGATACTTAAAAGCGAAAACAAATTTCTACGATTGTTCCGGTCTTTATAAATTTCTTTAGAAGCTTTCATTTTGCATAAAAATCCGCAGTCTACTCATTAGTTTAGTTTATGAAATATTTAATGTTCAGTGCCGAAGGAACTTCGAACCCTCACCGATGATTTACTGTATTTTGCCTATAACGAATCGATAACTTCATTACGTCATTTACAGGTAAACGGATGTGTCTTGCCCACCTAGACCGACCATTTCGACCACTGCCCACACCTGTTGACGCGGCTCCGTGCCACGATACGCGTCCGGATTCAATCGCGTTGCGTTGTTCTCGCCTTTTGCCCGAGCTAAGGTCACGTTCATCGTACCTACTTGCGGAACACGTTAATTTAAAACACTGGTACGCGGGAGGCGTGCATCGTTTCGTACAGTTCATTGCTAAGGCCATTTCTCTGGCACGACTCGATCGCCGTGGGACGAGATACTCCTTCCCCGTAATTACTCCTCCGAGGTTCGACCACGTTCTACAACGTGATCTACGCGGCACGCCGTGATCCACGAACAAGGAATGGCTAAACTACGATTCTAATCCGTGTCCATGATTAGAATGTTGTCGATTCTAATCCGTCTACCATTAGAAGTTTGCCCCTTTGACTGGAACGGAAATATAAACGCTAACCTCTTAATTCCTGTCGATAGATACTACAGTAAATCCTCGATAAGTGTTCGATGGCTCCTCGGCACTGAACATTAAATATTTCATAAACCAATGGCCATATACGATTGAAACATTGGCTTCAGAATTCTCTTCTTGTCAGTGCAGATGAGCCTATGAACACTCATCGAGGATTTACTAGATGTAGGATTACTTGATGTGGGACATGCACTCTGCTGAACTGAAGTATTCGAACGATATGATACTTAATTGAGTAAATAATTAACATCCGCGGTCTATTTATTACATTTCTCATGTTCAAAGATACTATAAATGCGTAAACATCTGTGGTCTAATTATAATAAAAATACCACTTTTATTATACCAGAGTATTTAAAAAAAAATGAATAGGCTTAACCTGACTGTTAGTAATTCTCGCGTTGTTATGGCCAGGTGTCACTGACAACTGCATAAATAATTCGTCATATATGTACACACGTCTGGGAACTTGTCACGGGTTACAATTGACCCACCCACAGACTATGCCTTCTTTTTATAGAGAACTTTGCTTGTCAGAACCCTCGCCTTTAAACCGATATTTATTATTATCCTCGTCATTTTCAAAGAAAATAAAGCCAGTCGAAAAATAAAATTTTAGAATCACACACAGACATTTTAAAAATCCGCGACTTCTCGGAATACTTTTTGAAATTACGTCGTGTAATTAAATTCGTCTGATTTTTAGTACAACAACAAGCATCGCGAAAGGAAAACAAAAAACTTCGTGTGCAGTGACCGAATAGGTGGTGAAATAAACCAGAAACACAATTGTCAAGAATATCGTGCGAGTACGGCGGACAGTGAATATTCCGAATGCTACATAAGTGTTGCGAATGATAGCTGCAGATAGAAAAATACGTAACAGCTGCGACTATCGCGTGTTCATGCAACGCGTGTGTGCGGTATTATCTATTTTATTACCGCCTCGATGAGTTAGAAAAAAATGTTCGAAACATTCAACAGAAAAATGAACAATAAACGTTCAAATAAAAACGATCCAGATTCCGAGTCGAAGCCGACAATACCTACTAATTATAAACAGCAATGGCATCGTGACAAGCAAAGATCTCAATGTAATAAACATTGATCAATATACACGCGTTAGAGTAGCAAGAAAAGCCAACTGACGTATTAATAGTTATTTAATTTATATTTTGAAATGCACGTGAGAAACACACCTACAGTCTCTGTGTATATACATTGCCGCTGATAAGTATTAGGACACTTGCCGAATATGCGGTAAATGTTACATGGCATTACGAAATTGTAAAAAGCGTAATTGCAAGAACCATAGAATAGCACGAGTCTCAACGCAATAGATCGTGATCGAGATAAATCAAAAGGGGGCGGCGTGTTCGTCATCGTTTGGCCGTGGATCAGTGATCTATTTCCGGTGGAGGAGAATTTCGTTGGGGTCGTGATCGAAGGAATCGCCAACTATTTGAGCAAGTCGTGACACGGATCCACGGTGGGCGTCACGATCCTCTAGCGTCCCGTGACGCGCGCGCGACAACCGATCATTCTGCTCGATCAGCTGTTTGAAGCACGTGGCATCTCGTGCGCACGTTGTTGCCTCGACACGTACAAATCCCGACCACCTATCGAGACTTAATAGTGATCGCTAGATTACGGATTTTTATGTAAATTAAATCACATTTTAGAAAGTCGTTCATAAAGACGAAAACAAAAATAGGAATTATTTTTGGGTTCAAAAGAAAATAGAAAATTCGTTCCATCTGACGAAAGTTTTGTCCTTCATTGTACTTCACCGAGACCTATAGGCTATAAATGCATAAAATCCGGAATCTACTGATTGGGAAATTTTGGGGACCGAAAAGTCTATCTTCACAGTATTAAGGCTTCTAAAAAATGTTCATTTTTTACATGACAAACACTAAAGAAAAGTACACACGGATTTTACGATTGCTTGGCAATATTTTGTGCTACAGACATTTCTGTAATGTGAAATTTTTATTCTAACATTCACTATTTTCATGAAAATGTTCATTTTGAAATATGCCTATGTATTTCTTTAACATCACGATTTTGTTGACGAAAAAAATATGCAACAATATTTTCACAATCTTCTATATATGTATAATAAATGCCATTAATAAGATTTTTCTACTGAGTTTATTGTTTCAAAGAAAAAAATTGCTAAATAAACCTATAATTCTCATGCGTCCAAAGTCGCATCTCCATAAGGCCCTTTTTATCCTTTAGCGGTCTGAAAAAAGGTGATATTTAGAAATTTGTTTACAGAAAGCAACTTTTTCAGCTTTATTTGTTATTCATTCAAGTAAATAAAAAATTTATTGTTGTATATAGCGCAATTACGGAGCAACCCGTTCAGCGCCACCTACGAATACATTTTTTTTTATTTACACGAATGTATAATACATAAAGGACAGTTAGTTTTTTACCAAGTGTTTTTTGCTTTCCTTAAAAAAATTCCTAAATATCATCTTGTCAGGCCGGTAAAGGGGAAAGGATCCTTCTTAACACGCAAACGAATGCGTAAAAGACTTCTACATCTCCTCATACACCTCTCTACTCGGCCATTTCCGTGTTTACCTGGCGCAGCAATGTCGTACCGCACCGCCGGCGGCTGACCAAAGCGACAACGACAATTCTGCACTCTAATTGTTGCGTTCCGCGAGTCATTCCGATTGCGCAACGCCGTTATTACCGCGAGACGCGCGGCGATCGAGTCCAGGAACCATCGTCCTCCCACGCGTGATACTACACGTTACCGAATGTAATCGCGGTCGCAGCTCCGATCGGTCAGGGTCGCGGCGTGTGCGCGTCCTCGACCCTGTCCTGCCAGCGCGAGGAAATCCGACGAAGGGACACGTGTGGAGCAAGGTAGAACGCGAACGGGAGAGAAAGAAGGACGGAGGAGATCGCGTTTCGTTGGACAAATTTATCAATCGCGCGATCGTTACCGAGCCGGTGGTGTTTGCGCTCCAGAAACGATCGAACCACCGATTTCAATAGATTTAAACCTATTTCAACCGATTTTCACCAATTTCAAATGTTAAACAATTTCAACAAAAATTAACCAAATTTAACAGAGTTCAACCGATTCCAATCGATTTTAACTGATTTTCAACCGATTTCCATCGATTTTAACCAATTTCAACCAATGTTGACAGATTTCAATAAAAATTAACCGATGTTAACTGAGTTCGGCCGAATTCAATCGACTTCTATTTATTTCAACCAATTTTAAATATTAACTATTTGCAACCGATTTCAACCGATCGAAGGTCGAAGATCGAAGCGGAATATCGTGGAACCAAGCGTCGCCGGGACGTCGTCGGCGAGCGAAGATTTATTATTTTGTTGATCAGTGTTTTTTGTGTACTTACCTCTGACACGGAGGCGGTTTCGCGTAGCCTGCCTTGTTCGCGGTAGCGTTAGCTTGAAGAACGACGAGGAACGCGAGGAGCGCAGCATTCAGCAGGCAATTCATCGACGCACAGGGCGTAAAGCTCGATGCCATTTTCTCGTGAATTCGACGATCTTCACTAGACACGATCGCAGGTTTTACGATTCTATGTCTCCCTCCCTCTCTCTCTCTCTTTTTCTCTCAGTGTGTTTTTTTTTCTTTTACTACTGTCTTTTTACCTCTGTTTATAACACGAAAGGCTTGAATACGGGAAAGCGAGAGAGCGCGCGCGCGCGCGAACGGGGGACGTTACACGCTCGGAAACAACAAACCTTTTTTTCGGTATTTACTATATTTATCGTCTACTACGATTAGTATTTTTTTTCTCTTTTCAATCGCCTCTTCTGTTTTCCGTCCAATTTGAAGAGACTTCGGGGCTGCTCTTATTCGAAAGGTATAACTTTCTCACTCGTTTTTCTACCTTTCGTTCTCTCTTTCTCTTTTCATCTATTGACAATTTTTAATCGGTCTCTCTCCCTCCGTTCTTCCTTCCCCCTTTGATTTTTTGTCCCTTGTTCTCCCTTTCGCTCCCTCTACCACTCTACTCTCAGTTTCGCTTTATCTGTTCTATTTCGTTTCGCTAAAGCAAGGTCGGAAAGGACGAGACCGCGCGGAGGAGACTCGGTTTACTCGGGGTTTGATGTTTCCTTACTTTTTGGTGATCGGTCGACGTTGCGAACCGTCCGTTCTACGGAGCCTGCGAGGCGGTTTCAGCTCCAGCTGCAACGCCGCATCTTCCCTGGAACAGAGAAATTTCGCGGCTCGATAAACTCTTACTGCGATCGGTCGAGCTGGACAGAGAATTTACGAAATTATGCCGTTGTACGATCAATATACTCCATGGAGTTCAATTTAACGATAATTATTAAGTACAGTGGATTCTAACTATATTGCCATGGTCGGGGCTGTAAGAGAGTAAAAAGGCAATAAGTTCAGAGTCCCCTCCATGCTAAGTTCTATCGTCATAGTCTCAGTGGCAATATGTTTAGTGGCAATATAGTTAGAGTCCACTGTACAGCGAATTCCGTTGCACTTCTGACACGATATCTGACATGACGTCTTTCATTAAAACAAATACGGGTTCATAAATGTCAAGATGTTCTCGTATAGTAACAACAAAATAGAGTAAATGCTCGATGAGTGTTCGAAGGTTCCTTGCCACTGAACATTAAATATCTCAGAAATTGATGGCCATATGCGGATGAAACAAATGCCATTGGTTTCAGAATTCCAAGTTACAGTAAATCCTAAATGAGCGTTCGAAGGGTCCTCTGCACTGAACATTAAATATTTCCTAAACCAATGGCCACATAAGACTGAAACAAATATAATTTTCTTCAGAATTCCAAGCTCTATCAGCTTGTCAAACCTCATTAAAAGGTCAGCGTTACACTTGGAAACCTCTTCTTGTCAGTGCCGAGGAGCTTTCGAACACTCATCGATGATTTACTCTACAATAACATTTTATCTCAGAAGATAAACTTAGCAAAAAGCCACAACAGTGGCACGTAGTGTCCAAAGGGTCAACACACCTGCTCTAATCGCTGATAAATTACTGATTTCTGGACCAAAAACATTTACATATCAAGATTAGTTACAAATTTTGAATTTAATTTCCAATAGATTATTGTTCCCCCAATTTATAATTCTAGCGCGTCGACGTCGATACGAACTTTGCGCACGAAACACACTTCGATCGGTATATAAGATCGCGGACCGATCTCTTTTTATTCGAGCGGACAACCACGAGGGCACTCGTCGACTAACCAGCCAACAATTTCTTCTTTCACTTGGCGGCGATTTCCGAGCGGCGCGGCAGCCTGCTCGCGCAGACAACCGGGAGCTGGGCCGAAAATAAAAAATTAAAAAAAAAACGCAACATCGGCGGTCGCGTGACCGCGGGACAATCGGTTGAGCAACCGGTTACGAGCACTCGTCGAGATTTCGAGCGGATCGACGATTGCGACGGACGATCTGGAGGAGATTGCAACACAGTGTTGGGCATAATTATACTCGAATGATACGTAGAGAAAAGCTGCACTATCCAACGACGTCATCCTGAGTTTTAAACAGTTGAAGGCATTAAATAATTGATGCTAAATGTCGACTCATGCACGAGGTATTATTACTTTATTATAAAAATTGGAATTTCTAAGTTGAAACGATTAAAAGTGACAAAATACCTTTTTTTATCTTTTATTCCTTATTCGAAACTTTTTATCTAGATAATGAGTTTGCCCATCTCTACGGTGAATACACATATTTCAGATTAATTTCCGAAGTCGATTTTCTCGAAAACTAAGCCTTAAATGAACAAATTTTATTCCATAGTCTGTTCTTATTTTTTCATAAGGAATCACCTCGTACCTGCTTGTACATGTTATTCGGTCGTACCCTGTATAATTTCATAAAACCAATAATTCCAAACTTACAGTGCTTAACCTCATTAAAGTTAACATTACACCTGGGGACCTCTCCTTACTAGTATCGAGGAGCCGTCGAGCACTCCTCGAGGATTTACTGTATTTCAACCCACTAATTCACTCCTGATACGTGGAAAAGGGTAATAAAGAAGAAATCACACAGTTTATGTATGACTTTCCAGAAAAAAAAAAGCTTGTAATCGATCTGTTACGAGCAGGTACAGGATTATTCCTCGTCGATTTCGAATTATCGTCCGTCCAATCAGACGAGATCGTTGTTCGCTGGTCTGATCAGCTCAGACTCAGCTGTAATCCTCTTGAATTCGCTTAAATCGCTGACAATAATAAAGATCGACGAACGAAAGAAAGAACGACTGAAAGATAAGGTGTAGGCGAGAGCAGAATGAAACGGGACGACCACCAAGAGAAGAGACATTCTATTCACGGCTCTCAATGGGCGGCTAAGGTTTTGACGCAATGATCGCTTAAAAATAGTACCGAGTGCGCTTTCGCGAGGAGACAGATACGGGGGACGCGTGTGTGGAGTGACGACCGTTCCTGACCGACGACCCTCGGAAACGGAAGACGAAATGGGTTCGTCGAATCGCGAAACCATTCAACTGGTTAGCACTAGGGCAAATGTCCCAATTACTGCCAGTGTCCCTAATACTGTCCACTTGATTTATTTCACTTAATAAAAATCGCAACCTGAATGTTTACGAATAATTTTATTATTCAATCGGGACGCTGATTTAAATGAAAATGAAGTGGTACGTGTACCTGCGTGTCCGTGGTGTTTAAAAATTAATTTTGAAAAATGAAAGTGCCATTTGAAGTGATGAAATCACATCGAAGAAAAGACATAATTTTATTATTCAACCTACAAAGGGTGTCCCACGTAGGTGTCATCGCGAAATTTCAGGAATCACTTTTGAACTTTACAAAAAATTGGGTTAGACAAACGTTGAACTACATGTATTTAAATGGGTTCGACTTCCGTAAATCGACGTGCGTTACGAAATCATGAGGGGGATATGAATGTTTTTTGTTTTTTTAATGAAACTACAGCATTTTTCAAATGATTTTCATTAGTACGAATCATAATAACTTGTAAACTATTTATGGTCGTTGAGTTTTTCACGACTCCTCGTAATGTTTAAAAAATGTCATAGTTTCATTTTTATACAAACTACATATTGTCCAAAATAAATTGTATATAATATGTAAAAAAAAATACAAAATAATTGTAATAGTAAATAAGAATTATTTAAATTTTTCAGGTGACAGTTACAGGGGACACTAGCTTAACCCGAAGAGTTCAATTAATTATCAATTAATTCTTCATACTCAATATATAAAACTATTTATTTTTTAATGGAAAGATGTTAAATAATATTATGCTCCAAACCGAGTCAATTTATAGGTTAAACAACACGTAAAAAGCTTATCGTGACAGTAATTGCGACATCCATCCTTTTGGCCTACCGAAATGTCGACTTTGGGCGTCGAAGATTGGCTAACCGAGGAAATTAACGATCCCCTGTCAACCGATGATCGATCCACAATACAATTTTCCATGCAACACGCCCCGACTACGATTCATCGAGAGTGCATTAGAGCCAATCAGGTAAATTTCCGCGTGGAAACCACGTGCTGACCCTGACTGACTCGAGGAGATTTATCGAGACGGTGTCTCTCGTGTGCGTTAATCGTTCGACGATCGCAACTTCCAGACTAATGGCGGGTTAATTTCTACAGGGTGTAACAAAAATGTTGGAGGACTCGAAAATGGAAGATTCGTGAGGTGATTTGAAACAAGTTTTTCCTTGGAAAAAATTTAGGAACGTATCTTCCGTTTAAAAAAAGAGTTGTGTGTGTGGGACACTTATCAAATATGCAGTAAATATTACAAGGCAGTACCAAATTGCTGGAAATTTAAAATAAATTGTACTGTTTGGGGGATATTAACCGCTAGCCTTGTAACAATCGACTCAAACACATGATGGCGATTTCCAATTGGATTTAATAAACCTGTATATTATTAGTTTTCTTTGAGTATTAATGTTTAAGATTTAGAGTAAATATTGTACTTGCCATAGGAACAGAATTCCTTTTGTATTTGGCAAACTATTAACGATAAAGTAAGTTTTCAAAGTTCAGTCGTAAAAAATATCGTGAGGATTTTAATCTGATGTTCCTATGAACTAATGACAAAAAATGTCGAATTTTTACAAAACATCACATTTTTTTCGTAGACAAATACTTATGAGCGCGAGTGTACGTCTTCGTTTTTCTGCGATTCTCGATCCTCTTTTATCTGACGCCGCACAGAAGTTACACATGACTTTTGAAAAATCGGCCATTTCGGTACGATCGTTTGCGGGAAGATAAGCGTGATTGGCAAAAAAAAAGAACAAGATACACGGCGTTAGAGGTATTTCGACGCAACTACAGTCAAATTAGGTTTGAACCACTTACACATCGCTCCATTTATGCCAGAACCACGAATGTGAAAGTTGTCACTTTTTGATCGAAGGTCTGTGCTAAATGGTTTCTTTTGTTCCTAAAATTGTGCCAAACCGAGAAATTGCGTAACAACGGTGATTAAAGTATATCAACGGTGATTAAGAAAAGAATGGTAAAATGAAATAACAGAGTATAATCATAAATGTGATTTATGATCCTAAACAAAAACCTCGACGAAGAGGTGATTATCAAAAATTATTTTCCAGTTACACTTAAATGTGACGTAAAAACAGCGACATCTGCAAGAAAGTAAAAGAATTTAAAATCTCATTACAATTTCACATTCGACTGAGAATTCCCAAAATTGATCGAATCACAGATTAATGAAACTGTTCACACCAATGCGAAAAATTTCCGCAAAAATTGACCTCTAAAAAATCTATCGCCGCGAAATACAGTACATCCTCGATGAGTGTTCGAAGGCTCCTCGGCACTGACAAGGAGATTCCTTCAGATATAATGATGATTTTTTAATGCGATTTTGCACAATGATAGAGTTTGGAATTCTGAAGCGAATGATATTTGTTTCAGTCGTATATGGCCATTAGTTTATGAATTCTTTAATGTTCGCTGTCGCTGCGAATATTTCGCGTTGGTTTGTGGGAGCCTCTACGACTACAGACACCTTGTTCGTTTCGAGGAGCCTTCGAACACTCATCGAAGATTCACTGT